TGGTTTCGCAGCAGTTGGTAATTGTTCCAGGTGCATGCATTCGGAAGTCGTTTGTAACTTCTCCAAGCGAGGTCCCTCTATTGAGTAAGATTAGGTGATCGAAACGAAAACAAGACGTAGATATTTTTCTTTCCCATGCGACTGCGCATGTGTATGAGGGAAAAAAGGAATGAAAGTGAACTGACCAGGAACACAGAAAGCAATAAGGGCAAGACAGGAGCGGGTGATGAGAACACAGATAGAGACAGAGTCGGAACGGAATTCAGGATGACCATTAAAAATATGCTGGGCTAAGAAACGGAATGCCATTTGCTGAAATGCAATAACCGCATGAGATCTGACATATGCACTTTCTATGCTGATCATAGATTGTAGAAAAGTGCCAAGTGGTAATGCGACGCTGCTGCTAGTTCTCATTATAATGCCAAGTTTGACAACGAAGATAACGTCGATGAATTGTTATCTTCATCAATCATACAAAATAACAAAGATCCAAACCTCAAGTACACTCAGTACACTGAAATATGCCACTCGTTCGTTCGAATAATTCTGAATGTTTGCCTGACCTGTATATCCGTTCATGGTGAAGTAGATTAAAATGTTCAGGACCAGTATTTGATGTGCTTACCACCAAATAGTCAGAAAAACAGCGGAGATTCCGAATTCGTTTCCATCACTCACTGTGCGCTAATAAAACGAGCTACGGGAGCTAACTGTATTCTGGAGCGAAAGAAAATCAGCGGATTTTTTGGTTCTTTCATTTCCTGCTCTCGGGGTGGTCTGTCATATGGGTAATCGGAAGGCAGTAATCAAAACCGTCGTATGACAGCGTAATATTATTGATATTTTAAACTGCAAGTTGAAGCGGACTTTTACAAATTTTATCTTTTTGTGTTTGGATTGACTTCCAAGATAAATGTTATCACAATCATACGTCAAGCAACAAGGCGATGTGAAACATATTGATGGAATTCAATCTACTCTGTTTGCTTTAAAAACAGTTTCAACATTTCACTTCATGAGGTTCACGAACTCATATCCAGACACGTGTCCGTGGATGGGCTATATATAGTCGTCGGAGCTAAACCTCATGCTGTATAAATTTTAACCATTTCGACTGGCATCATTATCAGCACCATTTATGGTTCCCTCAGGTTCAGTTCAGTTCAGCGTTTGCGTGCAACGATTTGGTCTGCTACCCGTTGATGATACGACGCGTGAACAGATGAAAGGATAATCTACGAGTGAACAAAATGCTGACATAGCGTTACCAAGATATGTTGTTAACCATGCGCCTTAAGGAAAAACGATAGAATTTCAATGGTATCAACGAACAGTCTTTCGCACAACAAAATCTGAGCTCATTTGTCAAGAAGGATAAATTCATTGAAGCAAAATAAAAACAAGAGAAAATTGGTTACCCCGAATGGTTTAATGTGGTTGCTGAAATATGCAATACTGGTTTGATCCAGGTTCAAGTCAACAAAAGGTTATCAAAGGTTCTTAGCGTTTAGAAGTAAGATTTCAAATAAGGTGGCGGTGGTGGCAGAGGTACGATCCGTCACCCTCCTGTCTCGTAGGTCATCTTGGCAACCCACTTATCTACAGAAAAGCTTCAAATAGCTACAGCCCGCTTAACGAATATTGATTACACAATTTCGTAGCATACCACTGAAGTTGATAAGATTAATAATAGTTGGCATGGAAAATTAGAGTAAATAGAGGTTCCTTGTTGAGTAGCAGAGTTGCACATGGCAGTGTTGTTCAGTTGCACCGATAAAGGACGAGACTGTGCATGCACTGAAAAGAAGTGGTTGGAGACACTGATCGATACGACTGTCTCTTTACAATTTCTGTGCAACCTTAGTTTACTAGAATTCTCAATTTTCTGTTCGACACTGCTTTCAACTTTCCAACCTTCCTCCTACCCTCCATCAAAAAAAGGACAGGCAAAAGAGAGTAACAAAACCGCTACACAAAATGACACGCTTCATGGTAGCACAAACCGAGATTGCGTTGGTTCGGGAAAAGGCATAAACTTAGCGGATCCGTGAAGAACACTGGACCAGGCAACTAATTATGGTTCGCAAATATCTTAAGAACACTCCGTTCCAGAAGAAATAACCATTCTTCTAGTAAGAAAATTCACTTTTTTGGATAACTGGAATCAGTTCGGAAATAGCTCGCTTATGCTAATGAATGTAACAGTAAATCCAATTATTGGTCGTGAAAGTACGTGGTTAACGGTTGTAAAAAGTGAAAACTGAACTGATTGGTCGTGAAAACTACGTGTCACAGTTTTACGTCTGGCAATGGTCATTATAAAAGAAATTGGTTAACTGTTTGGTTTTGAATGGACAGCTGCAAGACACTTTCCTATTTTGATCTGTGGCAAACCTCCATAAAAGGGAAAAACCATATAACTATGAGAAATTCCATCAGTGATAAAAATCGATGACTTAATTTATGGGAACGGAATAATGAA